CCGACCATTGCCTCTTCAACAAATCCTTAATAGCCAAGATTAAAGCCCTATGTATCCCCTGCTCAACATTGACACTTTGGATCATCGAGAAAGCACATAAGCTATCTACTTCTGCAATTACTCGACGATAACCCGAGTTCCATGCTAGTTGGAGCCCTTGGAGAAGCCCCCATAATTTCGCCCCTGTAATGGAGCAAAAGCCGATATTCATGGTAAAACCCTTCAACCACCGGCCAAAATGGTCGCGTAGTACTCCACCGGCGCTAGCCATCCCCGACGACGGGTTAAAGGAGCCATCCGAATTCATTTTAATCCACCCCCCAGGAGGAGCCCTCCATCTCACGTGCACCATCTCCCGTCCGACCCCGAACCCACCCAACCGTCTTTCTCCCCTAGTAATTGCGGAGACATTACTCTTCCAAGTTTCAATTTCTTTCAACAACCCGCCCACACGCGACGCTTCTCCTTTAAAAATTCTCCGATTTCGTGCATTCCAAATGCGCCATAAAGCTAGCCCAAATGTTACATCCCAATCCATAACATCCAAATTTCGAGCGTTTGTCAAATTAATTACCAGCCAATCCTCCAAGTCCAAAGCATTAAAATCATCCCAAGTGACTCGAGGCACTAACCTTTTCCATACTGAAGAGGCATTGGAGCAGTCCCTCAATGTATGCATCATAGTCTCCTCTTGAGTTGGACATATATCGCATCTATTATCAGTCGTCAACTTTCGCCGACACCGTTCAGAATTTGTGAGAAGTCTCTTCCTACCAACCAGCCACAGAAAATTTCGAACTCTCTGGGGACCACTCCACGACCAAATGACTTTCCATAATCTGTTAGAACTCAAGTTGTTCGGGTGGAGCAGACTCTCGTAAGCGGACTTCGTCGTAAATAAGCCGTCGTGCGAATATCCCCAGTAAATCTTATCTGCACCAGCTTCCAATCGCGGCGGGAGAATGGCCGCCACACGTAGCTTAGTCGTTGCCGGGAGTAAATGTTCAAAGAGCTCCCATTTCCACGTTCCCTGCTCATTTACAAAAAAATCCACAGTGGCATATAATAGAGACTCTGGTACTGGGCCAATAGTAAGGCTAATTAACGTGTCCGAGCAATTAAGCCATCGGTCCCACCAGAATAGCACTTTCCGGCCATCCCCAAAAGACCACCGTACTCCCGTTATCACGCGACGCCATACCTTACTCAAAGCCTGGAGTACAACAGATCCTTTGGAAAATTCAAAATTTTCATGCATTTTGAGTGGGATTAGATTATACTTCACCTTCAAAGCCCGAACCCACAGGACATCAGGTTTGGTCAAAAAAGTCCACCCTAACTTCATGACTAGTGCTTCGTTCATCAGGCGTTGATTTTGAAGTCCCAAACCTCCGCAACGTTTTGGCTTACAAACAGTCCCCCAGTCCACCAAACTCACCTTTTTGTCTGTCGTTGTACTTCCCCATAAAAATCTTCTACACTTCTTTTCCAATTCGTCGCACACAAAATACGGAAGTAAGACCGTTTGCATAGTGTAGAAAGGCAAACAACTTACTACCGATTGTACTAGAGTAGCTCGGCCTGCCATTGATAATAAAGCCGCTTTCCATCCCGAGAGACGGTTCTCTGCTTTGTCCAGGATCCTCCCATAAGTCTGCTTATTAATTCTACCGTGGATAAGCGGGACCCCTAAATACAACCCCAGATCAGTGACCGTCGTGAAATCGAGTAGTCTACTAATCTCCTCTCTCTTATCAGTCCCAACATTCTTGGAGAAAAGGATTCTAGTTTTCAACTCACTTACTTTCAGTCCAGAAGCATTACAAAATGAGTTTAACACGCCCTTCAAGCACATGGCCTGATCCTCCGTCGCCTCTAAGAACAGGAGTAAATCATCTGCAAACATCAAAGAAGGTACTTGTACCGTACCTCGACCAATAGAAATTGGCCGCCATCTGCCCTCACCAACTTCTAGGTGTATCAGGTGAGCTAATCTCTCCATACATAGCACAAACAAATATGGGGACATTGGATCCCCTTGGCGAATTCCTCTCGAGGGTCGGAAATTATCACTCACCTGCTCGTTGACTTGAACCCGCATCGAGGCTGAAGAGATACACGTCGATATGCCACGCACTATGTTGTCTGAAAATCCAGCAAGTTTTAGAGTCTCGACAACAAAGTCCCACCGTAAGAGATCGTACGCCTTCTCCAGGTCAACCTTGACAACCATAAAGCCGGTTTTACCTTTCTTCCTTCGCATGCTATGGATCAACTCCTGGGCCATGATAATATTATCAGAAATCTGGCGTCCCGGGATGAAACTCGATTGCGCTGGCCCAATTAATCTCGGTAATATAGGCTTAATTCGATTTGCCAGGACTTTGGTCGTGATCTTATAAACTACATTTAATAGGCTGATAGGGCGAAAATTTTTAGTCTCCTGTGGATTATCTACCTTTGGGACAAGGACAATGAGTGTGTCATTTATCCCTTCCGGCATAACACCGTCATGTAGAATCTGACGGACTAGGTCGCATACTGGCTTACCTACTCGCGGCCACTGTTTCTGGAAGAAAATGGCATGTAGGCCATCCAAGCCCGGCGCCTTTAATGGCGGCATTTCGGTCAGAGCTCTAAAGATTTCGTCGTCTAAGATCTCTCGGTTCAACACAATATGTTGGGCCCTTTCGACCTGAGGAAAAAAATTCGGCCAGTGGAGACTTGCGTTGTGTGTTCCCTCTTCTGTATATAATTGCCTGAAGAAACTTACAGCGAGTTCTTGCATTGTTGATTGATCCTCGACAAGCCTACCACCCTCATCCAGAAGGAACTTAATCCGATTTTTTCGTCTTTGAGTTTTAACCCGGCGATGAAAGAATGCCGTATTTCGGTCCCCAAATAGCGTCCAATCACGTTGGGACTTCTGAATTAAGAGAATCTCCTCCTGAACCATAACTTCGTCCAATTCCTTCCTCAGAACCGCCTCCAGCCTCGTAAGTTTAGTAGAATGGTAATGTTGTAAACATCGTTGTATACCAGCGAGTCTGGCCAAAAGTTCTTTTTTGCGCTTAAATATGTTGCCAAAAACGTTCATATTCCATGCCTTTGCTTGAGTGTGGAAATCGTGAACCGCCTCCTGGAAAGGTTTTCCGTCTGTCCATACTCTCTCCATTAGATTGTTGAAATCTTCGTGGAGCAACCATGACGCTAGAAACCGAAAAGGTTTCTTCTGCCGCCCACGGTTCGTAATATCATCCACCCGAACTAACAACGGGAGATGGTCTGACACCATCCTAGCAAGGTGACGGACGATGCTATGAGAGTATTTGTCCAACCATTGCTCGTTGCTAACAAAACGATCCAGCTTCTCCGATAGATCTCCCCGGAACCATGTAAATTTAGTGCCATCTGTAGGGATTTCCTCCAGCTTGTTGTCAAACATCCATTCCGCCATACCTGACCGTGCATGGTGATTTCGCGACGACCCTCCCTGCTTTTCAGATGAACGAAGCAAGCTATTAAAGTCGCCGCCGAGTAGCCACGGACCGGATACCCCTCGGGCCAACCAACTCAACTCTCGCCATAACAGCCTGCGTCCCTGTACATGAGGGCAAGCATATACAAACGTCATAAGAAAATCATCCCCGTCCATGCGTAACCTAGTATGAATGAATTGACGATGGCATCGTATTATAGTAACAGCCACCCTATCCTTCCAAAGGACCCATATCCCTCCCTTAAAACCCTCAGCCTCCACTCGAAAAGATTGGTTAAACCCACTTCTCAGGATGAAGTCATCAGCTTCTTTGCCGCTGATTTTCGGCTCCAACAACGCCATGACATCGGGTTTGTAGTTGTTACTAATCGTAAAAAATGCACGTTTAAATTCTTTTGACCCCGCTCCTTGGACATTCCATGTCATTACAATCATATTTAACGTTGAAAGGAAAAGGCGACGCACGTCAAGTACAAGTGTCGGAGACATTCTCATCTAAATCTGCTTCCATAATACCTTGCGAGGTCTCATCAACCTGGTCAGTCAAACTCGATGCCAAAAGGGCCTTCTGAGCACACTTCGGCAAGTTATCCAGCATCATATCAACGTTGACCTCGTCCTCAAATCCTTCCGGGCCCGAGACATTGTTGTTATTGAAGATGTGGTTGTCTAGTACGTGGACGGCTCTATGCTTTGATGGGTCTAAAGCCGTTTCTGCTCTAACCACTGTTTGTCCCTGAGAACTAAGAAAATTCAATGAGTCGTCATTTTCCACCAACTTGTCAGTCTGAATTTGTGCACCCTCAGCCCCCCTGCTATCTCCTTTAGTGCCTCCAGTACCAATACCCGCTGTAGGTGTAGACCCCATATTACGGATAGTTCGGCCCACTTTATTCTGGTGTATTCCCGTCGGCTTCATAGCACGTCCCTTTGTCGACCCAATTATTCCTTTTCCCTTATCGGCCTTGAAGATAATGTCTCCCTCTACACGCACCTCCTTTCCCATTTGGATATCTTCAATGCCATCCACCTCCTCCTCTGTTAACTCTTGTAAAGCTTCGAATCGGGATCCTACTTCAGCATCATTATTAGAACGTGAACTGGATATTGCAACTGACCCCCTCGGACTTGCAGTAACCTTTCTCTTGTCCTTTTGTTTCGCTGCAATCCACTCATCGTTTTCTACCGGGTCAACCACAGGCTTCCTCCGACCCCCATCTGGAACTCCATCATTTTGGCTTGTATGATTTGCAGTGCTTGGGCGTGTGGGGCAGACTGTGCCTAGATGGCCGTAATGACCACACGAGAAGCATAACTCTGGCAGATTCTCATATTCTATTAGCTGAGGTTTACCCATAATGTGGAAGCTTGTCAATAAGGGCTTTGTTAGATCAAGTTGTACCGCAAGTCTTGCAAATTTTCCACGTGTCTGTGTGGCCGTCTGATGATCTATCTTCAGGACTTTTCCCACTATGTCTCCAATTTTCTTGAAGACTTTCTTATGATAAATGTAAGGTGGCATTCCGGGTAATCGTATCCATGCCACAATGGATGAAATCGTATCGACTTTATCATTAAAGTCCTGACTCCAAGGCTGGACGTGGAGATAGGTTCGATTCACCACCCAAGGGCCACCCACAAGAGTCTTCATGGCATCTTCATCTGTATGAAACCGGACTGAGAAATACCCGTTGTCATGGTCGATGATGGAGCATCCTTGGACCCAAGGCCAGATTTGCAGTAATCGATTATACAGAGCAAGCATCCCAAGTGGTCGACGTGCTCCCAGCTGCTTGATAATGACTACGTTCCTCCAAGAATTGACACAAGCTTCGTAAAAGGTGTCCTTGAATTTCAAATTCGGCCCGTCCGGACCATATTCAACGATTACATCGTCATCATCCAACCCATCCTCATCATCAGCGGCATCCGATAACACGACATGGGGGCGGTCTTCCTTAATTAGGTCACGCCAAGACTTCGTTTGTGGTTTTCCGAGCCCATCGGCGGTACCTGATTTTACCTGTTGTACTGGGTGGGTTGCCGACTGTAGCGGCTCCTCCTGTGAAAATGAGCGGCGCCGCTTTGAGTATCTTCCATTGACTAATCGGGGGACCGCATCTTTGAGCACTGGGAACTCCTCCGAGCTCCAATCGGGTGGGTGCGCTTTGGGGTTAAGGGTAGGGTCTACTCCCCCATGATCTTTGGGACAATGGGGGCAGCCGGTGCCGTGAAATTCGCCGGTGTTCATTGGGTCTGTTTGAATCTGTTTTTCTGACTTTTCTCCAAAGATAAATGTTCTTTTTTTCATTACTAGCAATTAAAAATTCATACAGAATTTTTAATTGCTAGTAATGAAAAAAAGAACATTTATCTTTGGAGAAAAGTCAGAAAAAATTTGAACGAGATATATGTTTCAAGCAACAATTGCGGAAATAAAAAAATCGC